GTTCAAAAGCTGCCACAAAGCATGAAAAAAATGGATGTCTCCGAAAACGTCTGAGCATTTTTGCAAATATGTGATGTCTTGATAAATCGAACAGATATTTGAACTTTACACAGCTACATTCTCGCCTGAAAATATCTTAAAAGTTTATTTTGTGACCCAGAAAAAGTAATAAGTGTGCAGTAATAAGTAATAAGTTTTTTAGCCGCGCTCCTCCGCCATTGCCGGGCTTACAAGTACGCACAGGCTCCAACAACCACAGCCGACAAATGCGATCCTCCTTTTCCCCAGACTACCCTTTCTGGGTCATAAAATAACCTTTTAAGATATTTTCAGGCGAGAATGTAGCTATGTAATGCTCAAATATCTACTTAATTTATCAAAATATCACATATTTGCAAAAGTGCTTCAACGTTTTCGAAGAGCTCCGTTATCCACCAGCACAATAGCTGACCGGGGAGGTCAAGGCTTGATAGAGTCTGCGAGCACAGCTAACTCCTGGCTTATTGTTTTCAACCCCCTGCGGTCTTTTGCTACTCAGGTTAAACATGATATATATAATTAGTTAGTTAGTTAGTTATGGCTATGGATTGAAAATACCCCCCACACCACACCCCTAACGGCTGCACCTCCCGAAGAATTTTGTCTGGGCTCTTATCTCACTTTTTTATTTCAAACAATCAACAGAAAATTTCACCGACATAGTTTTATGTAAGGTTTTTAAGGCTGTGTTAATTTTTAAGTAACATGAGCCTAGCCACAGCAGTAACGCTAGGCTAACACTAACTAGCTAGCAAGATTATAAACCTGGTGCTAAACTAAGAGCAGCCACAAAATCAGTTTGAATAAGAGTAAACATTTACTCACCAAGTCAGTGTATCAGGTAAAGATTCAGAGCAATGACAATCTCTTGAGCTGACGCTTCTCCAGGTTTGCTCAACATATTCCACAACAAATGCTAGCGCCATGAACATGCGGACTGATCCGAGAAGGAGGAGGATGGTAGTCACGTGGCATTTTCAAAACACATCTTTCATCCTTCCGCACTGAGAAGCAAAACTTCCAGCTTATTTAGTTTTTCTAAGTTAAGACAACTCAAATAAATTGAGTTTATCAGCGTTTTTGCATAAAAAGTACTTGTAACTTATTTAAATTGAGTTCTAATAACAAATTGATAAAAATTGAGTTCAGCCTATTTAATATTTTTAATTAAACACAATATTACATTTTACAGTGCAGCAACCACCACCAGTCCCCACTGAGGCCCCAAACCACAGCCTCAACTCATGATCAAAGCCATCTGCCATTATCTAATAGAAACACTGTCAAACCTTAATGAGGAAGTTTTTTTGCCTTCTTAATGAGGAAAATGAAATGAACAAATTCATGTTGATTTCTCAAAGCATTAAAGGATATAACTAACCAGTTCCATAGCCAATTAAGGAAATGCAAACTAAAAGTGGACGTTCCACTGGATTTAAAGCAGTCATCTCACAAAATGGCAAAAGAATTTAGTTTACTCAGGATTTCTTCACTTTAGGGGGTAATGTATGGATGTAAGAACATGCATTTGGAGCAAACAGTAGAGTGCAGAGGTGCAGCAATCAAACTGCAATCAAAAATTAATATTATTAAACATTTCAGTCCAACTCAAGAAAACAACCCCTGAAAACAACCTTTTTGTAACAGTTTATTGTAGGAGCTGATGGCTGCTGTGGAGTCGTGTGTGAACACTCTGCATTTGAAGGAATTGTCCTTGTGCAGTGCACAGAGTATCTCCTCAAATGCATGTGAGAAATGACACACATCTGATTTTGGAAATGTGCAGTATATATGAGTTACATGTTTTAAAATAAGACTATTATAAATAAATGCTCCATTTATTTCTACTCATAAGGATTGGGAGTCCATCAAAGCTGATCAGAGCTGCAAGTGTGAGCGAGCTGCCCGCGCCACGCAGACTCCGCTGGAAATGCACTCCTGAAATTCACAAGCTCATCACATCTGCTGCTGATAAACTCCAGAGGTTTGGTTTTCTTTAGTTCCTTGTCATTTGAAGAGATTAATTAATATGAGAAGCGCATGATTTAAAAAAAAAAATGTATTCTTATTTTGTCAGAATGGTAAAGAATCTGGATATAAATGTCCACAAGTTCCATGATTACGGGAAAGGGTTTATCAAGAAGCAGAAGATGAGTCCAGATGCCTACATCCAGCTTGCTCTTCAGTTAGGCTTCTACAGGTAAAAAAAAAAATAGTCATCTTACAGAACTGATTAAACTTACCTACATTTTGTTCTCCCTGTACATGACTGCAGGTGTCATGGCAGACCGGTGTCCACCTATGAGAGTGCTTCTCTACGTCGTTTTCAGCAAGGCAGAGTAGACAACATTCGCTCAGCAACACCTGAAGCCTTTGCCTTTGTCAAAGCAATGACTGAAGGGAAAAACAGCACAAGTGTAGGTTGTTTTTATGCAGAAACTAAAGTCATACTGTGACTCAAATAAAAGCTGCTACAGATTTAAATTAATTTTGAGTGGCTTAATCAGTTTGAGTTTTGGGGTTTTTTTCAGTTATGCTATTCTGTTTTCTATTGGATTTTGTCTTGATGTATTCAAGCATGAAAATCAACTTACTGTAAATTAATGACCTTAAAGACTAAGCACTGACTGTCAGTTGTTTACTTCTCCAGGACACAGAAAAGATGGAACTGTTGAAAGGAGCCATAACTGCACAGACCAGTTATACACGTCTGGTAACTATTCTCTTCGTCCAGATTTCTATGACAGAGACTCACATTAAATAAATGCAGTAACATACTTTCTATTTTTCAGGCTATTACAGGGATGGCAATAGACAATCACCTACTAGGGCTGCGTGAAATTGCACATGAAATGAAGATGGGGAAGCTCGAAATGTTCAAAGACGAAGCCTATCTCATCAGTAATCAGTTTGTTCTCTCTACAAGTCAGGTATGTGCATGTAATTTTGGAATAAAATGATTCATATTTTAAAATTCAGTTCAATTCAATTATATTTATACGGTGCCAATTCACAACAACAGCCACCTCAAGGCACTTCATACTGTAATATAAAAAAAACCAAACCATGACATGATCCTCTGTGAGCATGGACCTGGTGACAGTGGGAAGGAAAAACTCCATTTTAACAGGAAGAAACTAAAAGAAAGTGGGACAGCCATCTACCCTGACATTTGATCTGTATTAATACATTGTAACACTGCAGTTACTACAATGGTTATGCCCTTCTTGTTTATTCTTTATAAAATTTCTATATTGTAAAACAAAGATTGTAACTGGTTGTTTGAACTAAAACTACAGTTTAGGGTTTCCTTGTAATGAATGAGGAAAAACATAATAACACAAATCAGTCTCACTACCTACCTAAACCTTTCCTAGAGCAGTATTTACTCACACCAGTAAAGCTTCTAGTAGTTTAGGACTGAAGCATTTACTCTTCCCTCAGGTTCCCACTACTGTTGAAATGTTCTGCTGCTATGGACCCGTGGTTCCAAACGGATACGGCGTGTGCTACAACCCTCAGTCAGACCATATTATCTTCTCCGTGTCCAGTTTCCATGAGAGCCAACAGACATGTTCAGCAGAATTTGTAAAGTGCTTGGCGCAGGGACTTCGGGACATAAGGGATCTGTGCGATAAATGCAACGCTGACTGCGCTGCCACAGAGGAAAGAAAGGGCCAGACACAGAAGGCACACACACAGACCGAAACAAAGTGGGAGGAAAAACCCCCCCAGAGACCATCTGATTTGACTAAAAACAAGCAAACAGTCCCACAGGTTCTGGTGAAGACAACAGACCAGAGTAGCGTGGAGGCCCAAACTCAGACGCTACCACACGGAGAGGCACAGCCTCTGAGAAAAATGAGTAAATCATAGGAAACTGTCAGTGCCTGTGGTAATAGTGGTGATGTGATATTAAATGTGTTTTCTGTGCTGCAATAATGTATTAGTAAGTCAATTTTAAAATATACACTGTACAAGCTGTGATACAAAATGTCATGTATATATTTATTGTTGTAGAGGATGCTTTTTCCAGGAATTGAAATGTGGCTACTACAGGATACATGTAGCTGAGAGTTAGTGCCAGACGAATGGGTAAACCTGAAAATGAATCAGCCAAAGAAAGAAGTTTATTTATTGCTGACCAACAGGCCTTAGAGTAAGGTTAGTGGGAAATATTGGGAAAAAAAGGAAAACGAGAGATGCAAACACTGGAGGTTCATTCGTATTATTACATCTCTGCATCATCTTTGCCGCCAGTCAGTTTGACAAAGCAAAAGCAGGCTGTGAGTTATGCCAAATGGCTGATTGTCTCACAGTGTCAACCTGCAAATTGCATGCTGCTATCTAATGATTTTCTGAAGACCAGAAAACAGCAATCTTCTCCTTGTGTTGTCTTCATAAATTCTTGTGTCTGTTGTACCAGTACCGTGTGCCAATACATCTGCTCAAAAAACAAAGTATCCTTTTATAAAATCCTCTTCATACTGTTCTGTACTCCTTATACTGGGACTCACACTGTGCTTGTGTACATAATAAATCCAATGTAGCCGTCCATGATTTTATAAGGATACTTTATAGTTAGCCTAAAGAATGTTAAGTTGAACCAAATGTGTAAAGTTTTGAGCAGAATATTTCAATTAAGTTATTTATTTTTGTATCATATACAAATATATCTATATATATATAATGTTATAGAGAAGTACTCTGAAAAGTAAATATATAAAGGTTACTAACCAAAGGTGTTCACTGTATTGATGACTGTCAAAGTACTGTAATTAAAAGGCGCTGCTAATGAACAAAAGGAACAATTTAAAATGGTATCTTGCTATTAAGAGTTGAAGCATATTTCATGTTAAGTTTTTTTTTTAACCTCATATGTTTTATTATCACATGCACTACACTGCACGACAAGTTTCTCACATGAAAATGGCAATCATTTTGACCGTAAACAATGATCAACATACAGTCAGGTCCATAATTCACTGAACAAGCTACATTTTTGCAGTTTTGCCTCAAACAATCAAGACGTGATTGAAGTGCAGAGTTTCAGCTTTAGTTCAAAGGGCTTTCATAAAGATTTGAAATAACTGTTTAGGAATTACACACATTTTCATACACAATCACCCATTTCCAGAGACTTCAAATTAATTGGACAATGGTTTGTTTAGCTGATTCCAAGTGTTAAACATGCATCAAGTAGCTTTACACTGGAATTCACAATTCAAGTTCCAACGGGGTGTCAATATAAGTGAAAGAGTCCATCATCAGGCTAAAAAACAAGAAAAAACAATTGGAGATACTTGAAAAGCTTTAGGATTGACCAAATCAACAATCTGATATAGTCTTTAAAAAAAGGAATGCACTGGCCAACAACACAAAAAGGCCTGAAATACCAGAAGCAATAACAGAATTGCATTTCATTGGTTAAAAAAAAAACCCCCAAGAACTTCACAACATCTAACAAAGTTAAGAACATTTTCAAGGAGGTAATCATTATCAAACCATAAATGTCCGCTGTTAGACCCAAAACTCAATCCTCTGATTTAATAAATCACATTTGTATAGCAATTTTTTTTTTTACAGCAATGTTCCTTTTGGAATCATAACCTCTTTTAGAAAGGTTCCACTTAGCTTCTTAACAAAATCATTTATTGAAATACATACTGACCTTAAGAGGCTCCTGCAGGCAACCAGTTGATTTGAGCCGAGTTTATGTAGTGATCAGTTGCTCCAGACCATTGTATGGTTGGGCCATCCTGGAGGAGCTACCTGTGCAACCTGATTGGGTTATAGGTAATGTCTCTTGATATCAGCAGTGAGAAGGACAACAGCAAAAAGCAAAACTAAAGTATAATCAGCCCAGATTGATAACGGGCTAATTTCTTTGAAAAGTATGCATGTCTTGGTGTGAACTTTTTTGTTTTTTTTAACCCTTTTCATTTTCTAACTTGAGCAGCAGGCAGTGGGCAGAAAGTTAGGACCACATTCTTAAATATGCAGCGAACATTTGTAATAAACACTGATCAGCAGTGAGTCTGCGGTGGCGCAGAAACCGATGGTTATAGATTGCTTCTCTTTCTTTGATCTGCCCACATAAGCTAACCATGTCAGCAATCGATGCATATTGAATCAGTTACCCAGGTGACACACAACAAACAATGCCAGCAAATGCGCGGGTCACACTTTGCTACGGACCTTATGAATCCAGCGGAGTAATACAACACAGGACCTTCCGCCTCCAGGGTCTCCAGGGTCTGTCTCATATCCAGCTCTATTGAGATTCATGCATGTCATGCTTGTCATCTGCCTTCGTCAGTGTTATAAAACGTTTCTTTTGTTTTGTTTTTTTTAATGACCAATCCAATATGTCTGCAGCCGCTCTGAGAGCGCGCGGGCACCTGTGCGTTTTGGAAGAAACACGCGAGTGGAATATTGTGGAGCTCGTGGTCAGCGGGGAGGTCGTTTTCACCTGTAACATAAAGAATCTGGAGTTTGGTAAGTTTGGTTGACTGGGATACATGTAAGGTTTGTGGGATTAACGTGGAGCTACAAATCAACTTAAAGTGATACGTCGTGATGACGTCACTCAGTCTGAAAACTTTCTGGTTTTTGTTTTTCTCAAAGGCGGAGATGGAAAACTGGATCCTGTTTGCAGAGAAGCTGTTGCTGCAGTGGAGAGTGCTTACTGAAAATAATTTATAAATGTCAAACCCATATTTAAAAAATGCAATTAAAAACTGTACATATTATGCAATTACACCACTGTATGGATTAATTTATAAACACCGGTCAATTTATTAGGTTCACATGTTTAACTTCTTGTTATGTGGGATTTTCCTGCACGCCTATCTTTACATTTACAGAGAATGCTCTGGAAAAGACGTAATATTCAATGACTAATATTTATCTGGGTGAAAATGTTTTGTCAATTCTAGAGGTCTGAGGAGAATGGCCAGCCTGCTTCGATTTGATAGGAAGATTACTCTAACTCGAATAACCAGCCATTACAACTGAGGTATGCAGAAAAGGGCCTCTGAATGTACAACATTTAAAGCATTAAAGCTGTAGATGGGCTACAGCTGCATAAGAAGTACCAGGTGCCACTTCTTTCAGCTAGGAACAGGAAAATGAGGCTACGGTTCAAACGGGCTCACCAACATTGATAAACAGAAGATTGGAAAAAGTTGCCTGGTCTTATGAGTCTCAATTTCTAATGGTAAGGTCAGAATATGAAAGCATGAGTCTGTGCTGTCTTGTGGCAGGGTAATGGTGGGGGATATTTTCTTGAGTTCTACATTTTGGGCCCATGAGACAACCTGCATGAGTGTTGTTGCTGATCATGTTCATCACTTTATGACCACACTGCACTCGGTGAGTGTAGATTGTCCTGCTGTTTATGGGTTTAACCATTAACAGACTGACAATTATCAACTGGCCGAACTGGTCAGTCCAACAAGGCTCCCAAAATTGTCCACATTCATTCTACTGCAGTGATTCTAAAATTATGATTTATGGCGTGAGCATAAAGCTCACGCCATAAATCATATTAACGTAAAGTTACGTTAATATGATTTGTCAAAAAAAAAAAAAAAAGGGTCACCCGACATGTTCCTCCTGACCTTTACCTCACTAACAATCTCTTTGGACTCTTCCTTAGATTTGGGTATAGACAAAACATTTTGAGTTTATGGCCATAATCCATTATAATTTTGTGGCTTCGATCGAAATTCCATTGTAATTTCTTTAATTACAGATTTGCATAAGAATTTAAATCACTAAGATAGGCAGAGTTTCAGTGATATAAAGCCTACATTTTAATTAAAACCTCCATGCCACTGCTTGATATTGCGTTCATCTATATTTGGTTCACATGACAGGACAGCCCACATATTTTTAAAGTCACATTTATGGAATTAATAGAAAATTAAGGACACACAAAATCTGGAAACAATTACAAAATAGCTCCAGGATCATTAAATCATTTGTGTCAATGAGCAAAATCCTATTTCAACCCATCATAGATTAACAGATGACCTGTAACTTTACTCATCAGTTCAAACTGTTGTATGTATGCAAGGTCATTCATTTATTAACACATATTTATTGCATATTTAAATTATTCCCTGTAGGTGCAGTTATATCATGTTGAGCACATATTTCAGCTCCCACATGAATATGTGGCTCTTTCCCTATTTACTAAACAGTCATGTATAAACCTCTTTTAAATCACTAAATATGCAAAACTATGTTTCTGCATTACTGGTTAAATCTCCCAGCTCTACGTTGGAAAGGTAAACTAAAGCACAGCTAGACAAGAAGCATAATTTTAAGGAGCTTTTCTAATATCATTTGTGTTTGATATCTGGGGATTTTAATGTGACAACCAAGCATCAATATTGCTCTCTGAGCATCCAAGGCTGTTCTTTGTTTATGTGTGTGCGTGTCCCAGCGCTTCAGAAGAAAAAGCTGAGCCTTATGTCCTAAGTAGAAAACATGACTGCAAGTCTCTGTGCCAGCTGGCTCATGTCTCCTGGTGAAGTGATGTGTGACAATAAATACACACTCCTTCACTAACAGCTAAGGTAGCCAAACAATAACAGGCTATAAAATCTACTGGTGTGTTAAGTTTCAGCGCAGTTTTCATACCTGTGACATGTGATTCATAGTTATTGCTAAAGTGTACCTCTGGGGTGTTTTGGGTGTGTTTCATAGCTACAATCAAAATAAATATCAAAATAGTTATTAAGTAGTATTCAGCATAACAGCAAAAGAATATTTGAAGTAGTAAAACCACTCCAATAATGATTGTCACAGTTCTGTGTGGCTGTGTGAACAATACTGGTGTACAATACTCTACCACACAACAGAAGATGTAGGATTGACCATTCTGTGGCTCAGTGCTTATGCTTAATGTTCATAAGGAACTTTTTATTCTTAAACAATTGTGTAGAGATAGGTTGAGAATCACCAAAAACCTAAGACTAAGCCACATCAAAACAATGGGTTAGGAGATGAAATGACCTTCTCCTTTACGAGTTTCAGTCTTGGAAGGAGCTCATGTTGAAAGCAGTGTCCATAAACTTCCTCAGCTCATTAAGGTGAGTAGATTTGTTTCCTGTCGCCGGTGCAGCCGCGGGATCTCGTCCCACATACCTGAAACAAACACGTAAGGTTCATCACCTGCAACAAGAGCTCAAATGCTTTGACTAGTTCTCTAACTAGAAGTGAGATGATAAATAAACATTCTTACCAAATGGGTTTCTTGTTGGCAACCACTGTGAGGAAGCGTGGTCGGACATAATCATAGTAACCCATGTTCTTGTGCTCCTCCTGACACCAGACGAGCTCAGCGTTGGTGTATTTCTCCACCTCTTCACTGACCAGGTCAAACGGGAAAGGAGAGATCTGAGAGTTGGAGACCAAAAAATGACCGATGAAGAAATGACCACACAGTGTCAGTCTCATTTTAAAATCAGGGAAGAAGAACTAAAAACCTGTTCAAGCCTGATTATGGCAACATCTCTGTCCAAATTTTGCTGCTTCCTCTCCTTAGCTAGTTCATAGTAGACTTTGCCTGCGCAGAAGATAACCCTCTTCACTTGGCCTGGGCTTTGACTTGCAGGGCCCTCATCAGGAATCAGTCTCTTAAATTTAGTGCCTGCAAACATAATGCATATTGAACATTAGTAATAAATGCAAATAAATACACACATAAAACATTAAAAGTTACGTCACGCTTAAAGGTAAAGCTCTACCTTTGGCAAGGTCATCAAAACCTGACCTTGCGTCCGGATGCCTCAGCAGAGATTTAGGAGTGAAAATGATCAGCTGTTTGAAGGGGAGAAGAAAAGGGAAAAAGTTTCCGTCACTGACAAACAACAGATTTATCCTGTCAGCCGTATCTTCATTGTGTGCGCTGAAAAAACTCCAGAGGAAAAAAGTTTTTATCTCTTTTTTCACGCTAATTTATTACCAACATATAGCACGCAACATCAGCACTGGGAAAACAAAACAATTCTTTAACAATCAAATAAATAAAACCCTTTGTGCTCGGTCGACCAAGTCCAGAACTTCGAAGTTTTTCCATAAAAAACCAACAATATTATCCCCTGTAGGCTTCCTCCCTAATTTGCTCTGGAACTAATTTTCTCACGCTTCGCAAAGCATCGCATTTATGTACAACAGGGGATCAGTTAAGACATTCACTGTGCCTGAAAACTGTGAGACAAAAAAGAGCATATAGAAAAAAGAAAAGACAAATGCTTTACACTTTGAAACTTTAGAGCTGAGCTAATTCTACTTTCTTTTTTTTTTTTTTAAGTGCAGGAACATATAGACCGAATTTGCACCTAAATTATGAATATCGTCAAACTGAGCCTCTTATAATAGAAACATCACATCTCACACTTTCCCAACTAAGATTTTGATTTCAGTCGTGTAACAAAAATGACCCAAAGAAAACAAAATATTCTGCAGGAAATATCAGGTGTGCTCTCGATTTATCATCAGAGAAAAAAGTGGTTTATACGTGATGTGTGATTTGAAAGCTCTGATCTGATCTTTTTTTTTTTTTTTTAATTTAAAGTACTATATGACAAGCACAAAAGCAACCTAAGTGAGACATAAAGAAACCATACTGTAGTAATGATGATGTCACACTTTACCGGTTTTCTGAATGGCAGCAGAATCTGTCGCCTGAGCACATGACAGTAGTTAGCAGGAGTGGAGCAGTTGACCACAATCCAGTTACAGTCATACAGCTGCTGGACTTCAAAGTCTCCAGTGAATTCCTTCATGGAAATTAAATAAATGATATTAACTCTAAAGGTAATGACTTTGAAAAAAGAAATTGTAGTTCTATCTTGTGGCCATGCCACTTCTCATAAGTGGGCAGAAGATAGAGCACATAATTGTGTGAGTACACTGTATCTCTGCCCTGCATACACACATACACACACACACAAGTACAGTACACAGAGGACAGTGAATGTTAATCCTCACTAATAGTTCAATCAATAACCCCATCTGAAGATGAATCTGGTAAGCTTCTGCTGATACAGCCTCCGCTATGTTCCCTCTTTTATGTTCCCTCACAGCAACTGGTCACTGGGGACATGAACTGCTGCTGAATACCAACACTTAGAGGCTATGATGAATAGACTTTTCACCTCTACAGAAATGGGCAATCGTCACTTAAGCAATCACCTAAGTAGCTATGATGTCAGCACAGCCAGTGAAGCAGGAAGGTAAAGAATGCTAATCGCAGTGCAATGTTCAGAGAAATAAATGATAGACTAGAAATGATCTGAAATAGATCATGGCATTAAGAAGAGGAAACCACTCCTACTGCATGTGAACATACAGGGATGTGATCTGGATCATCTTTGGTCATTTGGAGGAAGCGTTCAGGCCGAGCTGATGAATGCTCTGGACCCTAAGGACAAATCAAGACAAACAATAAATACGCACAAAATACATGATAAATTGTGACAAATAACCCAGCAGTGTCCAAATTCTAACATGATCTCACCATTCCTTCCATTCCATGTGGCAGCAGTAGGACAATGCCATTATTGCGAACCCACTTGGCCTGTCCTGAGCTAATAAACTGGTCAATGATACACTGGGCTGTATTGTGGAAATCTCCAAACTGGGCCTCCCAGAGGATCAAAGCATTTGGGTTTGCCATGGCAAAGCCAAGCTCAAAACCTGAAGTCATAGACATGATTATTCAGAACAACCAAATATCCTCAGCATGATATTCAGCTGCTGAGTCCAGTCTTACCTACAACTCCATACTCTGATAAGGAGCTGTTGCAGACAGTGTAAGATGCCTGGTTCTCCCACAGGTGGTTCATGGGAACACAGATACGTTTGTCAACCTCTTGGTCATGTAGAACATGATGACGGTGACTACAAAACAGAAGATGTGAAACTGAGCCAGGACGGTAAGGACTCAAACAGAAAACAAGATTAGAACACACCCTTTGAAGCAGTCCATTCACCAGCTGTGCTTTTAGTTAAAGACTGAAATCAACATGCTAACAACCTGGGCTAGTTTTTAGAATGATAGCATTACAGTGTTCACCTTGTTTCCCTTGGTTTAGCATGCTAACATTATTAATTATAAGAAAAAGTCACCCATTTAGCAGTTGTGGGGATTTTTACTCAGGACCAAAGTGAGAGACTAACAAAAAAGTAAATAAATACAGAAAACAGATCCATGCCACCAGCCTGACTAAAAACACCACTGCTGTACTGAGTTAGGCACTTCTGTGTGAAACATAAAAACATTTACATTTAAATAATAAATTAATGAAACAATATTATATCTAACTGAGTATCTCACACAGCTAAAATGAATGTATCAATTTAAGAGGCTATGGCCCATATATATTTTTTAAAAGTAATAGTAACATATATTTTTAATTGCTGATTAATATTGCTTTTATCTGTAAATCAAAATTATTAACTTGTTTAGTATCTACAAAAGGAAGAATGAAAATTAAATAACAATTTGCAAGAACATATAGAAATGTGATTTAAATGACCTTGAACAGGGTTTTCGGTGCCAGATAGGTTAATCTGAGTATTTCAAATCGACGCTGATCTGCTGGGATTTTCCCACAAATCACCCCTTGGTTTTACAGAAAATGGTAGAAAAGAGAAAAAATATCCAGTGAGAGGAAAAGACGTTCTAAGGGTGAAAATGTCTTGTTGATGCCAGAGGTCAGAGGAGGATGGCCAGGCTGCTTCAAGCTGATAGGGAGATAAGGGCAACTTATCAAATAACCACTTGGTACAATCTATGGTATGCAGAAGAGCATATCTGGATTCAAAACACATACAGCAGCAGAAGACCACACCAAGTGGCACTCCCGCCAGCTAAGAACAGGAAACTGAGGTTCTCTCCTACACAGACTCACCAACACTGGACAATAGAAGACTGGAAAAATGTTGCTGGGTCTGATGAGTTATAATTTCTACTGTAACATTTGGAGGGCAGGGTCAGAAACTGGCATAAAGAAGCATGGTTTCACCCTGCCTTGTATCAACAGTTCAGGCTGTTGCTGATGGTGGTGTAATGGTGTGGGGGATATTTTTGGGGGGTACACTTTAAGGGCCCTTAGAACCAACTGAGAATTACTCTACGGTCACCAGATCTACAGTAAATGTGTGACTCCATCATGTCAATACAGCTCAAAATCTGCAAGGAATATTTCCAGCACCTATGAACCTATAACATAAAGAATTAAGGCTGTTCTGAAGACCAAAAGAGGTTCAAGGGAGCCCAACCGCTAATAGCAGGTAGTGCCAGTAAGTTTATGCTGTCTTTAGTGATTGTGGTGAAAACAGCACTCTTCCAAGGAAATGTTCAAAGGTCTTTAATCCAGGAGATGCACTGCAAGCATTGAAGCCTGTGTTCCTAGCTCATAAAGGCACTTTCCTCTCTAGCGATCTTCTGTCAGTATGAAGCTCAACAAGAGTGGATGTGAGCAAAGACCCAAATCTTAACAAGTTTTGCCAGTCCGCTCAGTCCCACTAAGGAATCATCCTTCAAATCCAGCACGCTCAGACAGTCACTTAGACCCCTTTAAGATCACTTTCATGACATCTACACACATGCATATACTCTCTCACACAAACTCTCTCACACACACATACACACAGAGTGATGGATGTTATGTAATATTAAGGCAGAATAACTGCAGGAAATAACCCAAATCATTGTGCTGAATGTAATATAGTTCCTCCATGAAGACTAGATTATCATGATAGTAATCTTTTAAATAGTATTGTCCATAATTATGGGCTAATGAAGGCTCCAAATGTACTGCATAATTGTCTTGCTTGATCCTTAATCTACATTTGGAGAAGATACATTTTCTCTTCAAGAAATATGCTTATGAAATAACAACAGCATCTATTGTATTAATTAAGGTAGCACACATAATTTCACATTTCATTTTTCACAATTTGTTTGCACCCAATCCACAAAGGGAAAAAAAACTTTTAAGAGAGCTCTCTCTTAATTGCCTCATAAACAGCATGCCTACATTTATTCACTTTATTTTCACACACACTCACAAAAACACACACAGTTCCTCTGCCAGGGGGCCCCATTAGTCAGGGAAAGGGGCGCACGCTGAAGTGCATGCAACCTATCCAAACACAACGACTGAATCTATTAGTCCACGCTGTTACGTACATCACAGAAACGCAAGCAGGCCCACTCAACTGTAACATGCCAATATGCTCAGCTCCTAAGCACTATGAAAGGAACCAGACTAGTGGGGGATAAAAAAAAAAAAAAACGGAGTAAGAGGAAGAAAAAAGCTGTGAGGTAAATTACAGGTAGGAGAGCAAACACAAAAAACTGATCGGGGATTAACAGGTGATACATAGCTAAGAGTGGATCCAACATTTGACTGGGGTAATTTTTTCCCAACTAGGCGAATTGCATTGCTGAAGGGGACATCGGGGTGGGAGACGTAGATGTCATTGGTAAATGCGAAGCAAAAAGAAAAAGCCCTGTAGCCTCTGGTTAGTTAGCGTGATGTATGTCGCTGTAAACTGAGATGGGGAGTGTCAGTGAAGATGAGCTGGTAGAGAAATGATAGGGGACAGACGAGACAGGCACAGAGCAAGGGAGGCTGGTTTTGTTCATGTGTCACTCGTTCCCTCTATACCATGACAACACCATGTGGGCTTCAGCGTTCCCAGGAGACTGCACTGACGTCTTTTGTCTGGCAAACTCGATATGCCACTCTTCCCACACCCCTGCTTACTTAATTTACTATCTGTCAGAGAGTGCCATTTACCCTTTAACACTACTTGGAAATGTTGACAATGAAATATGATGGATCTTTAAAGATATGTAGTACACTTTAACAATTCAAGACCTATATCTAAAAAATGAAGATGTTCAAAATAATGAACGGTGCTCCTTATTCTTCTTAATTAAGCATGCAAGCTAATTTAGTTAGAGGACAGTTGTGTTTATGAGGACTACCCATCTACAAAAATCTATATAGCAAAAGTCAATATACCTAAACGTCTTTTGCACAAATGCGCAGAGCTCTGTAACAGACCATTGCAGCATGGTGAGCTCCTCCCAAGACAAACGTGACAATTTAAAAAATTAAAACAGTGACTTTTTACATCTTGATGCATGCTCAATCAACCAGGTAAGGAAATCCCAGAAAGTTCATTCTGTTCATCCTGAGTTTTTCAAAGTACTTTTTCAGCACGTGTTTTTCCTCCCACTGAAAATGCTACGTTCAGATGAATAGAATCAACTTTCTGGGAGG